TAGAGTTCACAGCCACTGCTGGTCATGTGATGTCAGCCTAGAGTTCACAGCCACTGCTGGTCATGTGATGTCAGCCTAGAGTTCACAGCCACTGCTGGTCATGTGATGTCAGCCTAGAGTTCACAGGCACTGCTGGTCATGTGATGCCAGCCTAGAGTTCACAGCCACTGCCGTTCATGTGATGCCAGCCTAGAGTTCACAGCCACTGCTGGTCATGAGATGCCAGCCTAGAGTACACAGCCACTGCTGGTCATGAGATGTCAGCCTAGAGTTCACAGGCACTGCTGGTCATGAGATGCCAGCCTAGAGTTCACAGCCACTGCTGGTCATGTGATGTCAGCCTAGAGTTCACAGCCACTGCTGGTCATGTGATGTCAGCCTAGAGTTCACAGCCACTGCTGGTCATGTTATGTCAGCATAGAGTTCACAGCCACTGCTGGTCATGTTATGTCAGCCTAGAGTTCACAACCATTGCTACACAAAAGAACACTAGGTTCACACTTGTGTTTATTTGTCCCACACCAACTGAATGCAGAAATCAGGCTGGTAGGGGAGTTCCTGCCCTGTAGGCTGGGTGGGGAAGGGGGTTTGTGTGGATGCCACCAGTATGGCAGGAGACGGGCTGTGGCCCATTTTCGTCTTGAGTGATGTTACCATACACATCACAGCAGAACTGGGGGGATCACATCAGAATGTACATTATTTTATATTTACTTCCATATAAATATATTATAGAGTTCTCATTCTTATTGAGTCCCCTCTCCACACCTCCCAATGATCTTCAGTTTTATAGCTGTGACTGTTCACATGGGGGGTAAGCTTTCCTTAGAATAGAATTCTCCTGAGTGTTCCACCATTAGGAAATGTCTTCTCTGTTCCTGCAATCTGAACTGAACGTATTCTCTTCTGGAGTCTGTCCGGATTGAGGCTCATTAGGAATTCCCGCCTCTCTGCCCAGGACACACAGCTGTGTGGGAAATGTTCTGCGGTTCCAGAATGCGTTATAACATAGAACAGACTCCGAGGATTAGAGGGAAAGGATTACCTTTTACTGATCCGATATTCGGCCTCAGCCTGCTTCTCTCCGGAGGCCACCACAGACCTGTGTAACTGCGAGAGACGGAGAAAAGGGAACTTCCTTACATGTCGGGATAACAGAAGATCACTGGAGAGAAGTACTATATAATATATATACTGTATATACACAGAGGGGGACACATTTGTTGGTCCTCTTACAGCTCATTGAAACAATGCTTCATTCCCCCAGAAAAGTGATGAAATTGCAAGTAATTGTCTTATGTTTTTTTGGTATCGAGTACCGATATTTTTTTCCGGTACTCGCCGATACCGAGTGCCGGTGCCGTGTGCCCTGATTATCGGGAAGTTAGGCTGCGGATCATGACCCGTCGGCCGACTTCCTGTGAAGCCGGCGTTCTAGCGAAAAAACACCAGCTTTAGAGCTGACCAATCAGGAAGCCAGGCGGTGAGTCATGAGGTGCCGTCTGGCTTCAGCCAGGCTGCCCAGCAATAAGTAAAGCCAGCTTCCTAGCCAATCAGGAAGACGGGCGGCAGGTCATTACATGCTGCTCGGCTTCCTGATTGGTTAGGAAACCAGCTTCACTTGTTCCTAGGGAGCCTGGCTTCCTGACCAATCAGGTATCTTGGAGGTGGGTCATTATGTGCTGCTCGGCTTCCTGATTGGTTAGGAAACCGGCTTCACTTGTTCCTTGGGAGCCTGGCTTCCTGACCAATCAGGTATCTTGGAGGTGGGCCATTATGTGCTGCCCGGCTTCCTGATTGGTCAGGAAGACAGGCTGCTTAGAAACACCTGAAGCCGGCTTCCTAGACAATCAGGGAGGCGGGTCATAACTCACCGCCCGACTTCCTGATTGGAAAGGAAGCCGACTGCATGCTGCTTCGGCACTGCTGGTCAGAGGGCGATCTCCCCTGACCGGAAGTTCCGGTATTGGAGGTAAGTGTCGGAGCATTTGGGCGAGTACGAGCATTTGTCCATATACTCGGTATCGGCACCGACATACTAGTGTCTGCAGTATGCCATGGACAAAACAAAGAAAGTGTTATACAAATATTTTCTAAAATGTCCCGGGCAGATTTGTTGGTACCCCAGAAGAGATTATATATATAATAGGATCGTTGTGATAGTTCAGATATTTTAGCATCGCCCGCGTCTTCAATCCGGCAATTATTTATATATTTCTATTTCATTTTTTGGGGGTTATTCCTGAAAATGACATTTATCATATACAGCGGGGAGGTGATTCACCTTCAGTGTCACATTCTTTATTCTTTTATTTCCCAATACCGTATGTCTGTAACTTATTGATCATGCTAATGTATAATTTTTTGATATTGATAACTTACTGATCATCTATTATTATACCCATAACTCAGAGGTGTTCGCAGGCTGGGTGCAGGCCCGGCGCTACCGCAAGGCAAGTCAGGCGGCCGCCTTACGGCGCTGCAGGGTGAGGGCGGAAAAAACAGGGCATTTTGACAAGTAATGTACTTGTCAAAATGCCCCGATCTTTGCGCTATGTTTTTTTTTCCACTTACCTTCCGTGCGGGAGAGCAGCGGCGAGCGGCGCGGGAGAGCAGGGGCGAGTCAGCGCTGGTCCAGTGGGAGGAGCTCCAGGTGGGGTCCTAATTTAGCTGGCCGATCATCCTGTGCGGCTGCTGGAAAATCATCATGCACATGCATGACCTCATCTCGCAAGAGCGTAATGATGTCATGTGCACCGGGTCCCCTCCTCTCGCATGCAGCTGTCGGGCTCTCGGTCCATGACCAAGTGCCTGACTTTACAGAGGGCGGGTGACACCAAAATGGGGCCACTCCCCCCTTGTGATGTCACTGCTATAACTTATTAAACTTGCTAATGTATATCTATTAATGTATCGATAACGTATTGATCTTACTAATGTATATCTATTAATATATCGATAACTTATTAAACTTGCTAATGTATATCTATTAATATATCGATAACTTATTGATCTTGCTAATGCATATCTATTAATATATCGATAACTTATTGATCTTGCTAATGTATATCTATTAATATATCGATAACTTATTGATCTTGCTAATGCATATCTATTAATATATCGATAACTTATTGATCTTGCTAATGTATATCTATTAATATATCGATAACTTATTGATCTTGCTAATGTATATCTATTAATATATCGATAACTGATTGATCTTGCTAATGCATATCTATTAATATATCGATAACTGATTGATCTTGCTAATGCATATCTATTAATATATCGATAACTGATTGATCTTGCTAATGCATATCTATTAATATATCGATAACTGATTGATCTTGCTAATGCATATCTATTAATATATCGATAACTGATTGATCTTGCTAATGCATATCTATTAATATATCGATAACTGATTGATCTTGCTAATGCATATCTATTAATATATCGATAACTGATTGATCTTGCTAATGCATATCTATTAATATATCGATAACTGATTGATCTTGCTAATGCATATCTATTAATATATCGATAACTGATTGATCTTGCTAATGCATATCTATTAATATATCGATAACTGATTGATCTTGCCAATGCATATCTATATATATATCGATAACTTATTGATCTTGCTAATGCATCCTCAGCTGTAGATATACATTTAAACAAGGATTCCTCTGGGGGTAAAAAAGCGAATAAAGTCTGATATATATACGTAGTATGAAATATATAAATACTCTGGCTGCGCAGTACAAGAAAAGCTCACACGTATTCAATGCGGATTATTTCTGCCTGAAGAGATTTGGGGCCACGTTCTCCTGCAGCTGTCCTGTGGCTAGAATAATATAACTCTGTCCTCCTGCAATTCACGCCAACCCAGACCTCGGAGTCTCAGCTGGACCATACGGTGGAAAAGCTGCGTCATTACTCCGGGCTGACTCTCGCCTCCCCGACTTCTAGGAACTATAATGGGAACGGGGAAATTTATGATCTGCTTTAGAGCTCATAAAAAGTTCCTGAAGGCCAGATGGCGATACATTTATTCTGGAACCGAAGCAGCCATGTCCATAACGCCTGGGACAATGCCGAGACCTTCTGCTCCGTCACAAGTGCACAGCATTGCTGCGGAAACTGCTGGTTGCTCGGGATAAAAGCTCTCCTCGTCTTCACATTCCAGTGATATATGAGACCCGGGAATCATCTATCAGAGGAAAAGTGATTTCCTATAAAGACATTTTGACTTATTGCAGTACAGTGTAGGAGAACCCCAACAATGAGCTCCTCTTATCTGCTCCCTTTCAGTCTGTTATATCAACCATTGAAAGGTGTTGTATCTGTTCAATAAGTGCAAAAAATACCTGTTGATCCTGCCAGACAGCCAGTGAGCTTTCTGTACCCTCTGCCTGTGCTGATTGTTCATCCAGTTCTGAGATTCACAGAGCTCTGTCTGGCAGAGCAAGAGACCTGATTTTTCTCTGGTGCTGTTAAATAGCACTTACAGGTCTTGTCCCCGCCCCCAGCCTGTGACTGGACAGTGAAAGGAGAAGCAGTAGACTGATGAACCCATCTTTCTGCCATTCTGCTCTCTCCTCCTATCAGCATGTTCCTTGTTATCGCATAAGCTAATTGGTTCCTTGTTCTGCTCCTCCCTCTCTTAACCCAAGCAAATAAAAAGTAAGGTGCTCTCTCATGTTTTGACTGAACGTCATTGCTCTGAACCAGTTTCCCGATGGTGACAACAGTCGGCCATGCTTGTACAATTTGTGTTGCTTCGGCTGCTTATGGTCTCCACCATGGGAGCATGTGACAAGGTGACATTGTAGGAGCACAACTGGGAGATAGTTGTCACCCCATAACAGGAAGTGCCTGGACAAGGACCTTCATGGTAGTGTTTTTTTTTTTAATGACAGCTGCAGATTGTTTCTTAATGTGTCATTCAAATCATAGACTTGCATTGTAAGAAGGAGCTGTGAGGCACAACCATTGTGTTGGAGCACAAAACAGGAAGCAGAGCCCAAACGGGCAAAGTAAAGACTCACCCTAAGGGGCAGGGGTAGGTTTGATGGGGCAACTTTTTCCCTTTTTAGGTTTTTTTGAAGTATTTTGGGTGAGTAGAAGCAGTTGTCACTTTAAAATGTCCAAAGAACCAAAAACATACCATTATTATTGTTATTCTAATGGTCAGGACCGGTACACTCACCCATGGCGCAGCCAACCCTTGGATCTTCTCAGCCTCGTAGTCGGTGATAAAGTCATGGTAGAGGACCACATAGGGGGCCAGGCTCAATATCTCCTTCTTCAGGGGCTGAAGGATGAGGTGAGGGCTGTGCTTTGTATAATAGGAGCACTTCATCCGGGGATCTTCATACAACCACGGCTAAGATAGAAGAAGAGTTATGAATGGAGGTCCACGGGCCGAGGGCCAAATGAAGTGACCAACACCAACCCAACATCTGACTTCCCCTAGTGGACCTGAGTGACCTTGAGCACCACTGCTCTCTCCATCGACTTATTGACTGAAGCTCAAACTTTATTTTTATTGTTGGATGGAGTGGAGAGGGGTTAGACCCCACGTCACGTTTATTGTTGTCTGTGTCCCCATTAGGGAGATTCACCCCCTCTATTTGTCTTTGTGACCCTTATCAAAATTTGGGAAAATCCAAAATTTTGGGTTCCCACCAAAACAGGAGTAGATGGGAAATCTTCCAATCAGGACACTAGTTCTGGTGACCACCGGGGATATTCCTCTCTTTGGAGGAATTTCCTCTCACTTAATGCTGAGACTGTTAGAAAGGAAATGAAGAGAAATCTCCCCAGTGGGACACAAGTTGCAAAAAAGCTCCTTTCTTCTATAACCCCC